AAGCCTAAACGAAACCCTTTTAACGGGACCTAAATTGCAAAATGATATTTGCGAAATTCTACTCAAATTTAGATTCTATTCTGTCATGCTTCTAGCTGATATCAAGCAACATTTTTTGCAAATCCAACTAAACCCAATTCATAGAGATTACCAAAGACTAATTTGGCGCTTTCATCCCAGCGAACCCTTACAGGAATACCGGTTGAATACTGTTACGTTTGGTATAAGTTCAAGTCCTTATTTAGCAATTAGAACCCTTAGAGAACTCGCCACTCGTGAAAGTCAAACATTTCCTGAAGCTTCCCAAGTATTGCTTAACAACATTTTCATGGACGATATTTGCTGCGGATCTAGCTCCCTAGATGGCGCTTTATCGCTTCAGAGAGATCTAATCACCTTGCTCAAATTAGGAAAATTTGAACTCCGTAAATGGGCATCAAATAACCCTAAACTCATCTCTCATTTGTCCCCATCGGATTGCCAAATCCCAATAACTTTCGAGAATGATAACTCCGCCTCTATCAAGGTTCTGGGCCTTCAATGGCACCCTTCAACCGACACATTCACCTACTCATGCACCCCATCCGAAAAAACTTACACTAAAAGAAGCATTCTATCCGCTATTGCAAAAATTTGGGATCCTCTCGGCTTCTTATCTCCGGTCTCATTTTTCGCGAAAGTTATAATGCAGAAGCTTTGGCTGGGATGAAACACCCCCTGAATCGATCACTACCCTTTGGAAGCAATTTAGTAATCAATTAAATAATCTTTCGAGTATCTGTCTACCTAGACACATTTTTCCAAATAAAATTCAACGTTGTCAATTGTTAGGTTTCTGTGACGCATCAGAACTAGGATATGCCTGTTGCGTGTACATTCGTGTTGAGCTACCTAACAATATTATCAAATCATCACTAGTCGTTGGGAAATCACGAGTTGCTCCCCTTCATACTAAATCCATTCCTCGTTTGGAGCTTCTTGGAGCCACCCTGCTAGCTGATTTGCTCGAATTAGTTATCCGAACTTATTCTTCGCTGATCCTAATCGATGAAATTCTTGCATTTTCGGACTCACGTGTTGCGCTGCATTGGGTTACCTCATCTCCTCACAAGTGGAAAACTTTTGTAGCGAACCGCGTCAGTCACATTCAAGAAACCATTCAAGTTCCTTGGTACCATATTCCTTCACTCGAAAACCCGGCTGATTGTGCCAGCAGAGGTCTAACCCCAAACAGTCTAATAAATCATCCTCTATGGTTCCATGGTCCGCCTTGGGTAATCCTGCCAACTTCCGAGTGGAAAATAAAGAAATTCGTAGAGGAATTTTCCGAGGAAGCACCTGATGAAGTCATAAAAGAGGAAAAGCCACTTAACAATACCGTATTAATGGCAGAATCGCATACTCCAAACTTTTTCGACAATCTAATAAGTAAGTTTTCTAACCTAACCCTAATTCAAAAAATTATTTGCCATTTTCTAAGACGAAAAAACCTGAAAAATCCAATCTTGGGACCCTTTGCAGCTTTCGAATTGCACAAAGCCTTGCTTATTTTAGTCAAAAGGGTCAAAGAAGAGTGTTTTCCAGACATAATTTCGAAAATACAAAATAATGAATTATTACCTAAGCCGTACCGCAAGCTCGCACCGTTTTTAGATGAGTCGGGTTTAGTCAGAGTGGGCGGTAGATTAAGGCATTCTCAGCTCTCTTTTGAGGCGAAACATCCCTTATTATTACCCAAAATTCATCATCTTACCAATTTAATCATAACTCAAACTCATATCGAAAATCTGCACCCTGGGCTTAATACAGTGCAGTATCTTATTCGCCAAAAATTTTGGATCATATCTGCGCGTAAAGCAATTCAAAAGGTCTTATCCCAATGCATTCGATGCGCTCGTTTAAAACCTAAATCATACACACCATATATGGCAGATCTACCCGATTTCAGAACTTCCCAGCTGAAGTGTTTCTCCCACGTTTGTCTGGACTATGCTGGTCCAATAAAATCCTTTGTAGGTCAAAGACGTCGTGGAGCGCAAGTCACGAAATCGTATATTGCGGTGTTTGTCGACACTTGTGTCAAAGCTATCCACATCGAGTTAGTTTCAAGCTTGACTACGGAAGCTTGCATTGCAGCGTTACGACGCTTTGTAGCTAGACGTGGCACTTGCGTTCAAATCGTAAGTGATCAAGGAACCAATTTTGTCGGAGCTATAAAAGAACTCCAAAACCTGTCAAGATTAGCTGCGGAAAGTCTGAACATAAAGTGGCACCTGAATAGTCCTGGTGCTCCCCACCTAAATGGCTTAGCGGAAGCGGGAGTCAAATCTGTCAAAACTCATTTATATCGCGTAATTGGCAACCAAATCTTAACTTTCGAAGAACTCTATACCCTTCTCTCACAAATAGAGGCTCTTCTCAACTCGAGACCTCTCTGGGAACAGAGTTCAGACCCAAATAACCTGTCACCACTGACACCTGGTCATTTTCTGACCACAGAACCATTAAATTCTTGTCCTGATCCGGACCTTTCTTCCCTAAAACTGAACACTTTAAATCGTTGGCAACTTGTTCAACGCCTTCATTCAGATTTTTGGAAGCGTTGGAAAATCGAGTACCTTAACACCTTGCAACAACGTTGCAAGTGGTCCGATCCTTCCGTCGAAATTAAGCTTGGCGCTTTGGTGTTAATCAAGGATGAATCCAGACCACCATTGCACTGGTCACTGGGAAGAATAGTAACCGTGCATCCTGGTCCGGATGGTCACGTTAGAATTGCTACAGTAAAAACACAGCACGGGCTCCTTACTCGTCCAGTGGTAAAGTTGTGCCCTTTGTTATTAGATTCGCGTTAAACTCAGATAAGCAATCTCTGTGTGTTGTGTTTTGTTTTTGTAGTTTTATTCTATTTTATTCTATTTTATTATTAGTATTATATATATTTTTTTCTACAAACGTGTTAAAAATGCAATTTTTAACACCCCCTCGAAGCATTAAAAATGTTACTTTATCGCACTAGTGTTAAAAGTCTTTAAGGCACTAGTGTTAAAAATGAAACATCAAAATTTGAAAGCAAACGTCAAAAAAAGTTTGTATTTTTAATTATTTACATTAATATTAATGGTAAAATTTGAACAACTGAGGAAGCTCCTTCGGCCGCCTCCTCTATATTTTTCAAGGGATTGATGCAACCCTCTTTTTCTTGTGTATTTTGTTGCATTTTTAGCAATAAGCTCACTGATCACGATAGACTAACGACAGACTTTCAAGAAACTGACGAGACATTTCATTACCTGTAAAACAAGGTGCTGGTTGTTTGAATTTTTTGACAAATATCAACTTCAATAATTTTATGTAGGAAAGATGCTTCCAATTTATTATTTATTTAAAAATCCAATTTGTCACTGGTTATTGCTTGTTATTGCCGTTTGTAGAAAAAATATTGTATGATATTTGTGTTAAAAGTATTTTTAAGGCACTTATGTGAATTGCAGAATTCGCTTCGCTCATTCTGCAAACTTTCACATGCGTGCCTTAAAAATGTACTTTTAACACTTATATCATAAATAACTATTTTCTCTCATTTATTCAACGTAAAACTCCGTTTTAAGTGGGCGGTTAATGTTCATGCAACTTTGTTATTTTATATATTTATTCAAAAATACGAAAGAAAAAACCGTTAAAAGCCATACAAGTTCAAATCAAAATTGGCACCGCTCGCGCAGACTCGGCGTATGTGAAAAATATGTGATTTATGAGAAGGAAGGAGACAGTACGAAGCCGTGTCTCTAAAACCACGTCCGCTTTTTCGGTCGTTATCAAAATCAAAAAACCTATCGAATTCAAGGCAAAAATTCCTTATTTTTATTTCTAAGACTGTGTTGTATCGGTGTGTCGCTGAGAAGCAGACTTTTTGGACACGAGGAGCTCCTCTGGATCGACGAAAACCAGCATAAACCAAGTAAGTGCCAATCCTCCATTGTCTTTGTATGGTTCGGGTTTATGTCCATTAATATTTGTGCGGCAAAATTGAATTTAGCGCTACAGTCCCGCTGCTCTTTAAACTTTCGAAAACCTAACGCAAATTTTCGTGAACAAAGATACTTTTATAAATAGAACAAAACCATAAGCGCAACAAATAAGAAGTACCTTGCGGTGTAGGGGGTACTCATCATATGCGGCAAACACTTTTTTAACACAATTTCATGTTTCTTTTTTTGAATAAAGTCCTACAGCCATATGCGAAATCCTCTTCACAGAATCCTCTTTTAACTCTAAAAGTGACTTTGAAAGCTGTCACTTTCAAAAAATTGTATTCAGCAAGCAAAATAACGCGCGCGATCGACTTTCAATGAGGGTTGCCATCATTTCCGGCCATCAAAATCGATGCAACTCTATACATTATTTGAGAAGACATATTAAAGAATATATCTACCAATTTTCAGCTATTACAACGATAACATTGTTCCTTCGAAAAAAGAGGGGTAGTTTACGCTCAGCCACCAAAGGGTTGCGGCCATGAGAATCAAGGCAACCCATCCATTTAGTTTAAAGGTAACTATAAGCTATTCTTTTATGTGAAAATTATCCATTGCAACGATCACATACCCGTTAATATTACCGGCTCTCCTACTAATTGTCAAACCTTCTAAAATGATCAATCAGCGAATACAAAAAAATGAAAAATAAAATCCAAAATCGAGGAAATAGTATAAAACTCACGTTGCAGAAGGCTATTCTCGTTCTAATTCGTTCGTCCACTCGCTCGTAGCCAAATTTCGAATTCGTGCGGAAATATGTGGCCTTCTGCAAATTGTATTTTAATATACCATAATGACAATAATATTACATTCGACATTTTTGGAAAAACATTAATAAATAGCGTTTTCTATTTTCTATCTTTGTTTCTTGAGAAAGACTTGAAACTACACTACTTTTGCTGCACTTCTTTCGCTAGTGAAATTTAAAGATTTTAATCTTTCTTGATAAAAATGTTTCAGGTTATGAAACGACCGATGCCCTAACACGAAGAGATCATTACGCACTCTATTTAAGTACGATCTGTTCGAGTAGCAACGAAAAAATAGTCATCAATTCCAGAATAGTTGTGGTGGGTGGCAGTAATACTGCTCATGCCTTTTTAGAGTCATTACTTTTGAATCATAAGAACCCAAATTTCAAGGTAGGTACCTACCTAGTTCATTGATTATTATATGTATAGGATGTCCCAAATTCGGCTCTTGAAATTAATAGGGTACTACTCCAAGACCATTTCCAACCCCTATGAAAAATTCCATTTACTCAAACCCCGTCGAAATATGAAAAATTACCCTTAACAAGTAAAAATGCATAAATAGATAAATATTCAGATTTTGGTATTTTTCTCCAACTCGGACTTCGAGTCTTGCCATGAAATTAATAGGGTATTATTCTTACACCATATTCAGCCCCCATACAAAATCTCATTGACTCAAACCCCGTCGAAATACGAAAAGCTACTCTTAATAAATAAAAATGCCTAAATATTGAGTTTTTCGTATTTTTTTTCCAATTTGGACTTCGAGTCTTGCCATGAAACTAAATGGGGGTTGAAAATGGTGTTCAAATAGTTAAATTCTTTATCAAAAAGTCTATATAAAAGAATTGTGCATCAAAACAAATTTTTCAGCAATAACGAAGTTATAGACCCTCTCCCAAAATGCAGACTTTGCAACCCCCCCGTAGCTTGTAAACAGACATATCAAGGATGCGGTTTTGACCTTCAAACTTCGCTTGAAAGTCGAGTCTCGCAAGTGGGGGGTCAGATTTTTTCCATCTCGACTGGAAGTACCTTAAAGTCTTTGACCTTAAACCCCAAAAGTACCTATAGTTTTTCCAAAGTCAATTGAAACAAGGTGAACATAAATCATAACTGGTGGCTGACTAGTGGCAGTACATTTCTTATGGAAATTTCCAGTGACCATTCAGCCACCAGTTGGTACCTTGTTCCAATTGAGTTTGGATATACTATACCCAAGTGTGATCAATTTATTGTGCTTTGGAGTTCACTCCTATTGAACCTGCTAAAGCTAATCCCTGTTTTATATCGGTTTATTCTAGATTAACTTCAATAATGTCGCTATAGTATCTCCTGATGGAATTAACAAAAAAATACCCAGAAAGGTCAATGAAATATTCATCGTCCAAAAAAATTTCATGAGCGAAAAATACATGGAAAGCATCAACCTAAAAGCCTACGTGAACGTCGTTATAGGCAACATTACAACAATAGATAGAAGACAAAAATTGATTATTGTGAACGATCATAAAATGCTCAGATACGATCTTCTGTTTTTGATGACCGGAGAAAAGTTCCAGAAACCTTTACAAAGCTATCGATTGCCATTTCAGGAAAATCCGATGAATATGTTTTTGGTTAATTGTGCAGTGGATGCATACAACGCGATAAAAGCGTTAAAGGAATTGCAAAAGGATATGAACGTGAATGAGGGTAAGAATGAACTTGTTGAGGAATATAAATACATCCTCAAAAGTGACTTAGGTATACAGGGTGTCCGGAAAGTCAACAATAATACTGAACGGGCTGATGGAGTAACTCATAGGCATCCAGAAAAAACATAATATGACCTTAGTAAAAAATCGATGGTTTCCGAGATATGAATAAAGTCGAAGTACTTGCTAATACTACAAGTATTAGTATACTCTACGCAGTATTTACTTCAAAAAGAAGCATTTACTAATTTTCGCTGGTTTCGAAATGTAGTATCAACTTCGTTCTAAAGTAAATACCTACTACGGAGAATCTACTAATACTTGAAGTAGTAGCAGATACTTCGTTTTTATTCATACCACCCATTGTCACTAATAAAATTCGTAAAAAATCGTCCTCTTTGATCAGATTTTCGAGTGTGACCTTAAAATTTTCTTTATTTTTAGGTTCTGAATTTAGTTTTGCAAACGTGAATAGACATTTCATTTGTCATAGACCAACATTGAAAGTCAAAGTTCAAAACATTTACTAGAAAATCTTTTTAAAGTGAATACTTCTGATACTTCACTTTAAAAAGATTTTTTAGTAAATTTTTTGAACTTTGACTTTTAATGTTGGTCTATGACAAATGATAGATCTATTTACCATCGCAATACTCAATTCAGAATGCTTACATTATTCCTAAATAGTGAAAATTTTAAGGTCACACTCGAAAATCTGATCCAAGAGGACGCTTTTAACAAATTTTATGAAAGTGACAATATCTCGGAAACAATCGATTTTTTACTAAGGTCATATTATGTTTTTCTGAATGCTAATGAGTTGCTCCATCAGCCCTTTCAATATTATCATTAACTTTTCGGACACCCTGTATAACTGCAGCTATGCTTTATGAAAAATAAATGATAACCAAAGTTATATCAGTAATACATATTCTTTGGTAATACCTATTGATTGTAGCTCGACTATTAGGCTGGGTATGGTGTCTAATTTACCAGTTTAGTCCTTTTGACTAAATGTTTCTACTAGGTGGTACAAAGATTTTTACATTAATATTAATACCAGGTCTTAAAAAATCATATCAAAGATTGTAACGTTTAAAGTTACTTGTTTTTTTTTTCTTTCAAATTTAACTAAATATAATCCTTTTAAATGTTGACTAACATTTAAAATTACAGGGTTCCCGCTATTCATTATATAGCAAATATTAAATTAGTACACTAGAGGGCGCAATTCTCTTTTAAATTTGACACCCGGTTAGTACCAAAAATTTCCGTTGACTATCTCGAGAGGAAGCGCTGTATTTGTGCTTACCTGGCCCGTGGGAAATTGATTCTCGCTCCTTTGAAATTGTCTCGTTGAACAGTACGGTTGACTGAAAGTGCTGATCAAATAAAATATCTTACCGGCCTTTGGGCATTGCCCTGTTTAACGAATTAAAGTTGCGTGTGGCAATAATCTGTCGATTTAAGAAAAATTCGGATCAAAAAGTCTCGTGATTACGATTTAATTCAAGTTTCAATTCCCACTCAAAAACGTGGTAATTTCTTTCAAGTTTTATAAGTAATGGCTTTTCAAGGAATACATTATTACTTAGGGTCTCTCGAACGGCTGACTTTACCCAACAAGTCCATTCCAAGAAAGGCTCCATTTTCGAATCAACACCATTTCCGTGGAGCTTGATATTGAGCCTTTGAAGGGCTTCCTACCCTACTAGAATCAAGACCCCACAGGTGAATACGTGTGCTGCATCTTTGACGACGATTATAGTCCCTTTTCTGCCCGAATTCTGGGCTGGAATCCACTAGTTCCATGTGTGGCCCCTTTCGTCCAGATATCGACAGACGAGAATGGATGGTTTCCGGATATGCCTTATATTGGGATGGAGGCTTGTATAAGTTTCAATAATAACTCTTAACTTTCCTTTTTTTATTCCATAAAATCATTTTTACTATTTTTACAGTCTATTTACAAAGCTATGATAATTTTTTATAAATGTACAAATTTATTCTTGACACTATGGCGAAGGAAAAAATTGGTTCTTTATTATTAATTTTATTATGTTGGCATAACTTCTAATCTTGCCTTAAATTTCATTAATTTTATAAATAAGTAATCTGAATAAGGGTCAAGGTTGGACAATAATATGTTCTGAATTTGAATTCTTAGATAATAGCTTGCCGTCGAAAATTGATCAATTTTTAACCAGGGCTCTTATAACCTATATAGCGGAGGATTTCCTTGAAGTCGACCATTTGGCTTATAATCCAACCTTTGATTTTTTTTACAGGTACAGCTTGTTTTTTTTTTCAATCTATTTTTTGCAGAGATTCACCATATTCATTGATTCAATTTTTGTAATTAGCTTTCCGGAAACGTAAATCTTTATATTTTCCTTTGAAATTGATAGTATTGGTAACTAATGTTAATGAATTTATGAGGCAAGTATATTAAGGTACAATTTGCTGTTAGTGTTGCCGCGAGACAAACCAATTTTGTACTGAAGTCAGGCGATGATTTGTACTAAATTACCTAAAAATGTACTAAATATCTAACCTAATAGTTTTAAGCATTTATGCGGGTGACGTAACGAAAAACCCCTCGTTTTTATTCTAATCGATGAATCCACCGGTAAGTTAACTATCTTTGTTTAGTGAATGGAAAATGAAATCTAATTTTTTTGTAATTTCGGAGTTGGAGTTGCGACATCGTTCATTCAAATAAACCATAATACGGCTCCCGATAATACTTACAATACCAGTGTTTTCGCATTCTGCATCTTTTTTTAAAAGCATATAAAATACAAGGATAGAGATAGGTAAATTTTTTTGCACTGATTCTGCAAATGGAAATCGCTATTAGTTTTATTTATTTTTTTATTTATAATATTTATTCATACCAAATGATACAATAAAAACAATGTTATTTTAATTACAAAGCATGAGTAAATATAGAAGATATCATATAAATGAAAGTCTAAGATCTTCAAAGCTCTAGTGAGCTTGTCTGTAGTTCTTAGTTTTCTGAATTTGTTTATAACATTTTTCTGTTATCGCTTTTTTAATTGACTTAATCTAACCTAACCCGACCCAACTTAATTCAATTCAATTCAACCTAACTTAGTTTAATCCAATTTAATCTACTTCATCCAACCTAACCCAATCCAATCTAGTTTAATTTATTTTAGTTTAATTTAACTTAATTCAATTTAATTCAATCCAATCCAATCCAATCCAATCTAATCCAACTCAATTTAATTTAATCCAATTCAAATCCAATTCAATTCAATTCAATCCAATTCAATTCAATCCAATCTTATTCAATTCAATTCAATTTAATTTAATTTAGCTTGATACTTTGATTTACACCTTAATATTTATGTTGTTTTGGATAAGCCATTGATTTAATTTTTTATTAAATTTTTTTTTATTTGTGTAATTTTTTATTTCTGTAGGCAGTGTGTTATATACTTTTAGCCCAATGTAAATAAAAGAGCATTGACCTTTTGTCTTTGTCATTCTTGGAGGAACTATCTGTTTACATGCATTGAACCTGGTTTGATAATTATGTTGTGGTGTTTGTGTTATATTGTTTTTTATTATATAGTTTATTGAACTTTTATAGTGAAGTTGTCTTATATTTAAGACTTGAATGTAATTAAATAACTGATCCGAGTTATACTGACGGGGAAATTTACAGATAATCTTGAGAATTCTTTTCTGAACTATACTTAAGGATTTTATAACGTTATCGTAAGCCCCTCCCCAAGCTATAATGCCATAAGACAGAATTGATTGAACCAATCCGTAGTAGACCGTTTTTGCAGTTTTGAGATTTACTATGTTTATAATTTGTTTGAATAAATATAGAAGCGACCTAAGTTTTTTTGTGCAGTTTTGAATATGTACCTCCCATTTCAAATGTGAATCAATTTCAATCCCTAAATAGTGCGCTGAGGTTACACTCTTTATTGTTATTGGCTCATTTCTAAAATCTAGAGGAATGGTTATCTCGCTATTGTTTGGGAGTCCTGTAGAATAACTAGAAAATGGTACGATGACGGTTTTTTCTGTATTTATTGATAGAAAATTTGTGTCGAACCAGTGAATAATTTTTTTTAGGTCAGTTTTAATGTTTTCTTCTACCTCTTCCCATGTATCGCCTTTAGTATGGTAAACAGTGTCGTCTGCGAATGATCCTATTTTTCCATTTAGCTTAAGTTTTAGTAGATCATTTATATAAATAATAAAAAGTACTGGTGCGATAATTGTTCCTTGGGGAACTCCAAAGTTTAAAGTGTTTTCGTGACTTAGAACATTTTGTATTTCTACGACTTGCGTTCTGTTGGAAACATGTTCCAACAATCATGCTATCTCTTTTTGATGGCAAAATATTTTTATACATATAAAGTTTGCAACACTGCAGCGTTGTCGTCATGTCTATTTTGTCATGTCTGTCAATATATTGCGCGCCATTTTTTGTCATTGCAGCAGTGTAGCTTGGAGCTTGTCCACGTTAACAAGCATCCAGAAACCTTTTCACATTTTAATAAATTTTATAATCTAGCTCTGCCCTGTTGGGCATCTAAGCAAGCTCTGGCTTCTTGTCATCTTGTAGTAGTAATTGTAAATAGTGTAAATATTGTGTAAATTGTTGTAAATATAGTGTCAGTGAAAAGCGCGTGTGTTTTAGTTCCCTATCCAGTCGATCATCCAGTCCACCTAATTATACAGTCCACTAATTATCAAGTTATTTATCTTCCATTATGTGGTTTGGCACATAATTTTGGCCAGTTCGAGCCGGATACTGGATAGTTCGGAACCTAAAAGTGCTTTAAAAACCCTCAAAAAGTGCCTTTTTAGTGGTTATTGATTGTTCCATCGTGATTTTTGGCGCCATGTGATGCAAAAAATCAATCATCCACTGTGCAGTCTGCACGTGTCTCAAACAACGTTGGGTTCCACGTGCCACCAGCGAAGGTTTCCGCCGGAACCGGAAGT